CCCTGGCTGTGGCTCTATAATTATATATGCATGTTTATATACGTAGAATATTCTAGATTAGTAGTGAAGAACAATATTAGTGTGCTTTTAAATAATATCGATTTGTAAAGTAAGATCACAATGGAATTACCACAGTTCATTAAAGATGCTTAAATTATAATATAATAATAATAATAAAGATATAATAGCAAATAGAATATCAACTAAAATTAGAAAAATTCCACAACAAATTGAGGATCATTCAAACCTAGATGGCCAGGCGGTAAGGATAATAATGTCTGAACTAACTTCTTTTGGGTGCATAAATTAAGCTTGTTAATATGGATTCCAGTGACCAGCCTCAGCAATATTTAGTAATCGAACTCTTAAGGCGAAATTCATATTCGTAGGTATGCGGTAAATGACTTTGAAAGCTGCCTCGTTAACGTCAATTTTGTGTTCTGTTGCATCCACAGGATGAGATAGAATAGCGCTACAAATGGATTTTGTTTGTCCTTTACTTAACCAACCGGGCAGGATGATGTTCGGAAATCTGACGATAAAGCACGCCTAATTGTACGGCCTATGTAACCGACTGATTCCACAGTAGCACTCAAATTGATAGATACACACGGAAGAGGCAAAATGAGGCAGTTTATCGTTTACCGTCTGTCGAACGCAAGAGAGGAATGGTTTTAAAGATACAGCGCAATTCGGCAGCAATGAATGCTCTTTTTACCGCGTTTGTTATTATCTCGCTGGTGTTGTCCCCAAGGAACTGCATTTGTAAGAATTAGGCCTTCCTTTTTTTGGAACTGTTGGTACCTTGGGCTGCTTTGGTTTTAAATTTATATTCTTATCAATAAACCTTTCAGGATAGCTATTTTCACATAGTAACTGTTAAATATTATTAAGTTCCTCATCAAGACATTCGTACGACCGAATTCCTTTGTGATCTTACTTTACAAATCGATATTATTTAAAAAAACTAATATTGTTATTGACTACTAATCTAGAATATTCTATGTATATGCAACAACAGAAGACAAGGGCCAGCAACAGATCGTTTTATTGCGGAAATCCACACGTATTTATATGTATATTTCACACACATTATTATAGCTTATTCAAGTAGACAAACGCAGTCTTCTGATTGGTTGTTTCTCAGAAGTCAAGCAGACAAACACAGTCTTCTGACTGGTTGTTTCGGGTAACCATCGGTAAGTGGAGGCATCTCTCTGCGAATCATATTTGCCCACGTTAAGTTTGCTTTGATTGGTTGTTGAATCAGCCTTGTTCATATTTTCTCATGGCCAATATTAGTGACCTAGACATTGACGCAGATTAATGTCTACCAATTGGCTAGCAGCTTGCTCTCACCATATATATATATATAATTATAGAGCCAGAAGAGGAAATTATCGAAAAGAATATTCTTTACTCAATTATTATTTTACATAGAGATTCTATACATGGAGTAAATATTCTGCAACTAAAACCCGCTGAGAAATGTGCACTTTTTGCAGAATAAAGCTATGACATTATTGATCCTTATAGGCATATATATACGTATAAATACGTATCATAGGTAGAGAGATGAAGCATCATGCTGAAATTTAATACTAACATTCTCTAAGCTAGAACAGTAAGGCTTCAGATTATGTAAATACCACAGCGGGGTGGAGGGGAGGAGAGGGAGAAACTAATCAATATTTCTTGAACACAAATTCCAATTACATCAAAATTGACAAATCGCCATATAACTTTTCAGGAAATTAAAACAATTAGTCCCGTTTTGATAAATTTGAATAAGGCATTAAGAAGGCGAATTTCGAGAGATGATATCGTCATTTCGCAGTTTCTTTACAACCGCTTTACAACCAGCAACATGGTTAACAATAATAAAATAAAGATCATGACAATTACTCAGTTATATTAAATAGGTCATGTAGTACATGGTAGGCGAAGATTGAAGTCTACTGATTTTTGTACACACAATTTAGGATGCATGTGATTAATCCCCAAGAGTGCTTCCATCACCTTCAATAACCAACCCGGAATTAGAGTTATGTGATGATGTACGCAGTGAAGCAGTCATTAATTAATATTGATTTTGTGACCACACATTAATAAGTGTTTTGCAATGGATGATGATGATGATGGATTTCTATTCAGATTAATCGCGTTGGGATTTTCTGTATGATTAAGTAGCCATTTTGGAACATGTTCTTTTCAAAGACGACATTGGAGCATTCTGTTGGTTCCACCTATATAGGTGTCACATCAGCGGCAGGTGAACTTGTAGATACAGTTTGAAGTCGAGTCCACAAAATTTCGTCCTTTAATCGTAGTAGGTACATGGATCGAAAACGCTCGGTAAGTGAGAAAAAGAGATGTGGCGGCGTAGAATGTGCGTTTGATGGCTGACCGAAGTCTTTGAGTTAGCTGTCAGCTGCATAATCTAGTCACCCTTAAATGGCAGGATAATAAAGATAGCTTTCTTTGGTACAGAAGCTGTCTTTTCGAGATGTGGTCTTTCTTTACTGTGACAAGTGATAAAGTAAGGTTTCCGGATAACCATTAGCTAATAAAACTGAATGTATATGTCGAAACTCATTCATCAATGTGTCACTCGTGCATATTTTTTCGGGCCCTTGAAAACAAACATTTCACTAGGGAACGTTTACACTGGATAAGAACAAAACTGGTAAAATGAAGATATTGTCCACTCCATCCATGTCTGTTTACGAAAAATAGATCGCTTAATCGTTCTATCATTTCTCCTAGTCATAGTAATATCCAGGAAACCGAGTTTGTTATTCGATTCTAGTTCGGAAGTCACTCGGATATTTTGGTGAATATGATTAAATAGAGTAATAAAGTTTTCAATAAATTTACTATTATTGCCAATAATGAGTGTATCATCCACATAAGGTTTATATAGCATAAAGTCTCCTAGCATACCTTGCATTTATTTCTCCAATTTTGACATGAATATATATGCTAACAGGGGCCCAAGGGGTGGGTCCCCATCGCAACACCATCGATTTGTTTGTATGCCTTTTCTTGGAATGTGAATCTAATATTTTCTGTACACATTAAGATGATGTCTTTGATGTAAGTGTGTACAAAAACAAAACAATAGATTTCAATCTTCGCCTACCATGGATTGACTACTTGACCTATTTAAATGTGATGATTGGTCATTAGTATGTACTTTTATTCTGTTTTATTTAACTGAGTAATTGTCATGAACTTTATTTTATTATTGTTAACCATGTTGTTGGTTGTAAAGCGGTTGTGAAGAAACTACGAAGCATTGTATATGATAATTTGATCGGAAATGGCTATCCCGAAAAATTTATCAAGAAACACATGACAAAGAAAGCGGCAGAAAAGGCTTACTCACTATCTGTAAAAAAGAAGCCACTTTATATACGACTACAATTCATGGGTGATATACCAAGCGAGATAGTTGCGAAGAAATTAAGAAAATCAGTTCAAAGTACTTTTAATGCTAATGTTATTCTCTGCACGACCGATGGTGATTCCTCGACTGAAAAATGAAGTACCTAGACTAGCCACTTCTAATTGTATCTATCATTTCAACTGCGCTTGTGGAGCCAGTTATATTGGCCGTTGCTCTAGGAACTTGATTTTTCGTGCCCTCTCGAGAACATCTCCCAACATGGCTTAGTAAATGTGTAGTGAAAACTATTAACAGCTCGACATTGGAACATCTGGTGCAAACAGGACACAAAGCCAGTGTAGATGAATCCTTCTCTATATTATACCGGCTGCCAAGTAAATTACCAAAAACATCGAAGCACCGCAGGCTCCAAACAGCAAAGGCTATTGCGATTCGTCCCAAACAACCAGCACTCTGTGTCCAAAAGAAGCAATTTCAACCCCTAATATTGCCCTGGCCTTTAGTAGAAGCTATACACTCATGAATTTGTACTATTATCTTTCTAATTCTTCTAACATTCAGCTTATTGTTATGTTGACGCCACTGAACTGTAATCCACTGATATTATTGATTCGATGTTATTTAAACAGCAACAATAATGTTGTGCATAACACTAATTCATTCATTCATTCACTATAATGTATGTATAAATGTAGAGCCTGATGATGAATTTATCGAAAAAAGTACTCTTTGTTCAGTATCCATTCTTTTGAAAACTACGAAATAACGATATCATCTCGCGAAATTTGTCTTTCTAAATGCCTTATTCAAATATAACTTTTCATTTAATATCGTCTTAAGTTTTACATAGTAAGAGTCAATAAACTCATTAGAGAAAGCATTAGGCGTAAAACTTATAACTTAGGTGTCCAAGTGATAATAAGGCTTTTTTCTGTAGTGATCAAAAGTGTTATAGAAGATAATAGATTACACGTTTACATTACATAGCCAATATATTACACATCTCAGATAAACTATGTCTTCTTATTGTGTTGTAGAAAGCGAAATTATACCCATAATTTATAAAGGAAAAAGGACTAAAAACAAAGCCGAAAGGGGATAAAACTTTTAAACATACCATTGAATGTAGTCGTGCCAGCAATTGATTCATTGTATCTGAATTTCGAACAGCATTGCTTGTTGTTGTAGTAGCCGTTGTCATGACAGCATAATTGTTATTATTATGGTTCACAGATTGTACACTCTCAATAACTGCATGATCTCGTTTACTGACAATTCTATTCTCTGGTAGTAGTTTTACATACTGATGATTACCACTAGCACCCCCATCACCAACACAATCACTAGCACAGGAAGATGGTATCATTATCATATTGTTAGTACTATTATGCATAGATTTTGAATATTCATGAATTTCAGAATTTCTTCGTTTCACATGATGATACGCTGATGAGTGCAACTCATCATTATTGTTTAAATTATGCATTAAAAGGTAACGTTCAATATCCTATGAAATAAATAAATAAATAATAAACAGAAATAGAAGATTCGGTATTTCCTTTTTCTCTCTCTTTTTTTGTTACTGAGATGAATAACAAACACTTTTTCAAAGTTGATTATGTAATATGTTTGAAACGATAAAAAATAATAAAAACTTCATGCAATTCTTCCCATTAATAAACTTGAACAAAGCAAGAACAACAATTGTACCAGAAGATAATATAATATGAGCTCATCTTTTATTATTGTTATTTCGAGGATTCTTCTCAACTGGTTACAACCTGAACGATAAAAAATATATATGAATTACATTGAAGATATGAACATACTTTCCATGATTATAAGGAGTAATTCGTTGGTAGGAAGTAAAAGTAACATTAGTTCGGAATGATTTAACTAATTAAGAGTTACAAACACACTGACTATTTGTAGAATAACTAGACAATTAGGCTTGGATATAAGAATAAAACGTGTGCACTGTGGTAGAGTGTAATTCCATTATGGGTAAATTTTGTTTTGATAAAGTCTCACAGTGTTACACAGTAATGTTTACTGATGACCAGGTTTCGAGCACAATTTATTGCTCATAACCATACGAGCAACCCATCGGCTTTGATTATTTCGAACGACTTCGGGTTGTCTACAAGCAAAAGAAACCTAGCTTGCTACGCTACGCTTCACTGAAGCAATTATTATCAAACTACTCAAACCAAATCTATGTATGCAGAAAGAGACAGTGGTGAATCTTGCACTGCCCTGGTGATAATAAAACATATACAACTTTTATGAGTCACCCTTTTTCTTGCCTAGAAAACTCTTCTCTCTCACATAAAATATGACTCACCCTACCTTGTTCTTTTCATTTTTCTCCTATTCGCTATTCTTTCCTTCACGCTCTCCAGTGGAACATAGGGGTTCAAGCTAGAGGGTTGAAGTTTCTCTAGCAGTGTTAATTTTTACAAGATGGGGTTGCTAGCATCATGCCCAACCTTCCCTCTTTACCAGCATTTTTTCTGGCTTAGCGAAGTAAAGGAGTGCGTCGGTGGCCGGGGATCGAACCTCGGACCATGTGCATGGTCGTCGAGCGTCCTAACCGCTATGCCACCGACGCCTATTCGCTATTAAATAGAACATTTTCCTTAGTTACGTAATCTACTTTTTTGTTATGCTCTTTCTAGCTAAACCTTGTTTCTATGTATATATATATACGCAACCCTGTTTTTGTTTCCAAACCGAATTGTCTAATTATTCTATAAATAGTCAGTGTTTGTAACTCCTAATCAGTTAAATCATTCCGGACTAATGTTACTTTTGATTCCCACCAACCAATTACTCCTTATAATCGTGGAAAAGTATGTTCATATCTTTAATATAATTCATATTTTTTAACGTTCGGGTTGTACCCAGTTGAGAAGAATCCTTGAAATAATAATAATAATAAAAGATGAGCTCATATTATATTCTGGTACAAATGTTGTTCTTGCTCTGTTCAAGAAAGAATAAACTATACCAGTTACATTGTAGGCATCGTTGACCACCAAGTAATTTTGGAAACTGTTTCAACACTGTGAAGAGTTCAGTGCCCCAAATCTTTATCAGCTTCATTCGACAAATGTAAGAGGATGTCTTTGAAGTGAAGACAGGAGTGAGATACAGCTGTGAAACAGTCACCGATGATATTTTTGAAAAAAAGAAAACCTTTAGCGAAGAGACTCTTTCCAACGGCGAATTCATTCACATGTCTGGACAATTGCATTTATGCATACAATCATTTTGTGTGTGTGTGTGTGTGTGTGTACATGAGGTTTGTCAAGTTTAGGTAATTGATCAGGTAATACAAGAATGATCTAATATATAGAAAAAAGGTTAATTAGACAGCAACTAAAGCAACTAAGATTGAGTTAGTAAGTTAGATGATGACGTAATATAATTGACTAAAATGTTTCAACTTGCGTCAGGGTAGCAACAGAGGCAATTACAGGTAGAGAGAGACCAAGAAGAATTGGGGTAGAGAATAATGTCACTTAAATCAGAACTAGAACTGAGCAAATAAGCTGGATGACGTAACAACATAAATGACTAGAAATTGAGCTTTGATCAAGTCAGTAACAGTGGTAATGACGTGTAGAAATTAAATCGGGTGGGGGTAGAGAACAAGAGAGTTGAAAATGCAAAAGATTACAATTAAGAAGACAAAATAATACTAATGAAGAAACAGCAAAAAAGGTTGGGTAGAATTTACCTGTCGGGTAATAAGATAGATGATGTCCATTAAAAGTGTAGTTATTGAAAAAACTCCTTCAAGCTGTTCAAGTGTTAATTTGCGGGGATTTGATTCGATTGGTTACACAATTTCACATCATGAACTAACATCGGTTAGGGGACCGTTGCAAAACCAACTAAGGAGTACTAGACAACTGTTTCCATAACCTGGTTTGAAAATCTTCATCTGAACACATACACAAACACCACAGGGGCCGAATCCAGGACACAAGCACGTACCACACCATTAGGGCCACTGGGACTCAATCTATTGGCCAGCACATGAATTCGAACTTCTGCCAATTCACCATATGACGTGACCCCACTAGCCAATGAATGTCATCGGTGGCGAGTATTTTTCCTCAAATCCAACCTGCTGTACTCTGCTGTAATGAAATGGATCATGCAACTGACAGTGGGAGGCAAAAAGACAAGAATATGGTGGACCACCGATAAGAAGACTCTAGAAGATTTGCCTCCAAAGCCTCAGGATGGTCGGGGGTGGGTGTCTTGCGCCACGGGTTGGCCACCCCCACCCTTAACCCATCGGGTTAACCTCCGGACCCCTCGGGGGGGTTTTTCCAAGGAGGGAAAGGGCCGTCGGTCTGGGGGAACCTCAACCAGACGCGGAAGGTTGCCGGCCCTAAAAGAACGCGCGCAGGCCCCCTGTGTAAGAAAAGGACCAAAAGAAGATTTGGACTCCACGGCCAATTTATGTCTAATGTCGCACAAACTCGAAGAATCAGCAAAGATACGACTTTAAGTGAACTCAGCATAAATAAAAAGGTTAGGAAATATCAACACCAATGTTAAGTCAGTTAATTCTTCTATACGGATCATAAACTCGGCTTACACGACACAAAAAAAAATCATTTGCACCATCTGCTTTCGCTGGCTGCCGCATATTGACGATCAAGCTGGAACAACAAACTCTGGGAGCAAACCTGCCAAGAACCTATCGCTCAACAAGTATTCTGGAGAAAATGGAAATGGATCGGACACTCGCTAAAAGGGAACCAATGTAATGTATTCTGTCTGTCTGTTTACGACATAGAACTTCCCAACTATGTGCGGGTGCAGTTCAAGTCACCACACTGAATGTAGCACACAAAGCAACAGAAGAAAGTAGAAGAGGAAATGCATAATAGAGACAGTAAACAGACGTGTGTGAGACAAAGGAATAGTAATATCGAAGAAGAACAATATAGTTTCATTGGAAATCATAAGTCACAAGGAGTGGATGCATCTGCGCCAGCTATCACTGAGAACGATCACTTTGAGCCATATCACCAATTGTTTCCAGCCATTGGTGTTTACCGTCCCAAGGACCCCAACTAGTCAAGAAGTCTACACCTTCCTACGTGGCTTAAACTAACTGTTGTGGGTTTCATTGACTGGTACCATATCGGTTTTGGTTTGACCGCTACTAGCTCTTTTCTAGCCTGACTTTATGTCACCTAACATTGCCCGTCGAAGAAGGCGAAGGGGGTGGGCAGGCATACGTAACACATGTTCTAACCATCTCAGTCTATTTAATTTCACAGCCTCGTCGATTGAATTCTCCTCCTTACCTAGAACTCGACTGAGGCGTAACCTCAATAATACTCAACTTATTATACCACTACTTCACACGGGAGATAGAGTGCAGGCACTTATGATCAAAGACATCTACCCGATCTTTTCATATCTTCCACTCTCAATGGCCAGGTGTCGCTCACAGCCAATGAAGTGGAGTCATATCTGAGTACTGTTGAAGAGCCAACCTCTTCAATATAGAGACGAAACAGCTGTCTATCTCTCTCTAGTATACCATACTCCCTCCCTGGTTATCAATCAATAGTGCTCCTCTCTAGCTTGAGATGTATCAATTTAATCATCAGGATTTCACTTGAACAATTCAACTGTCAAGATCACAAAGTACAACACAATATAGAGACAATATAGTATCACACCTCCACCTCTTTTGAATTTGAAAAAAAGAGAAGGGGAAAAAGTAAAACAAAATAAACAATAAAAGTTTTCATATTTTCTTCCGCATGAGCAAATTTTATTTGTCTTATTTCTTATTTAGTTGACAAAAAGGGAAAAAGAAAATAATAATTACACTGAGATTGAAATGCCGTCGACAGAAATCAAGATGGCTAGCTGACTGGCTGGCTGGCTTACACAAGCATTCTGACTGACTGTATTATACAACTATGGGTTACAACAAATAACAGAGAGAAGAGATTTAAGACTGGCAAAGTATAAATTCATTAAAACCCCTTTTCTTGTTTTTTTTTTTTTTTCTATTTTTGAGACATGAGATGTAGTCATGAAATGTCAAAACAAAAAAAAACAATATGGGGGGGGGGGAGGGAGAGCTTTTCTCATCACATTGCTTTTATCCTTTATCTTGCGTCATCCTCCTCTTTTGAAATTTTTACACTTCAACAAGTTAGGGAGACAAATCCCTCCTCGCATATACAATGGGAAAACAAGATTAAGGCGAAATAAATTAAAATACGAGAATAGAAAATACACTTCAGGAGATTAAATTTTGAAACAAATAAATTTCTTTAATATTATAGACCGATAGATGAATACAAATGAAGTTAGCTCGATGTACGAAGAATAATTCAAATGGGAGATGTAGGGTACTTTTACTTATTTTATTCCTTCAAGTTTCAGGTGGAAAATTTTATATTATTATTATTGTTCCCTTGGGTTCCCCCTAGTGGAACATAGGGCTTCAACTGCACGTTTCCACTTGCCACTTCTGTCTTCCTTCTGTTGTACTTTTCACCTCCATCCATGTTAGTCCGTACATACTGTTTCAACTCCTCTTCACACGATCTCCTCCGTGTTACCCCTGCACTGACGTCCCACTCGCCGCGTGCCTCCCTTTCGGCCTGGTCCCACTTGAGCAATGGCCTGACGTTCACGTGATGTCAACCAGCGCGATACCACCTCAGCGACCGAGTATCCAATCCATCTCCATCCACTTTCTGCTGCATATTTGTTGGGCGATCGGCTCTCGTCTGTTAGTTTGTTCCCACAGTTTCCCATAGTTGGTGATTCTTTCCGGTCCGGCCCGGCCATCTGATCTTCAGTATAGATCCAGCGAAGACAGTTGTTGTTGTTGTTGATAAAGGTAGGTCTGCAACAGGCTGTTGGTGGAAATATTCTTTGTGACCCTCCCGCCAACTTTCTGATCCTGACTGACTGACTTGACGTTTGTACTGAAAATCCGATTGAATTTTGTTGTTGGTTCTGAGTGACGAAGATTGGTATCCAGATTGGTTTCAGGTTGATGAATGTGTGTGTTTCTCGCCTTCCCGATTCTCGCTCGATTTGACATCCTCGTCCGTTCCGACATCCTGTAGTTGAGACAATGCTCCGTAGTTAGATAAGTGAATGAATGAAGCAACCTCTTTCAAATCCCTCCCGTTGATGGTGATTGGAGCTGGATGTTTCTGCTGTTGTGGTTGTTGTTGTTGTTGTCGTTGGTTGGTTATTTTCATAACCTGCGTCTTGTCTATGTTCTTCGGGTGGAAAATACCACCTGAAAACTTAAGCAAGTTTTTAATTTTTACGAGATGAAATTATTAGTTTCACACACTCAACCTCCGCTTCCACACTCAGCTAGCCTATCGGCTAAGTGAGGTGGGTTGAGGGGAGCGTATCGGCCGGGATTCCAACCACGGACGACGTGGGTGGTTGACCAGTACTACTGTCCCATTGAACAGCAACGAAGGTAAAGAAGAATTTCTTTTTCTAAATAATCCGAGAGATGGGAGTGAGGAAATAAATTTCATCAGTAGTATTAAGCTTCTTCTATACAGTTCTTTACATAATCAAGAAGACTTCAATTTCTCGAAACAACACATTTGGTTTGTGATGCAGTGAACATAAAATAATAATTCGACTAGTGGTGGACTGGATTATGCAGAAGACTGTATGTGGAGAGTGTGAGAAGACAGGAATACGTTGTACCGCCAATAAGAAGACTCTAGAAGCTTTGCAATTCACGTGTGGATGATTTATATGTTTAATGTCACACCCACTGAAAGACTTGTAGATGAAAACCAACAGAGTGGGCAGAAGAGCCAAGCAGTGTAGTCAGTGAAGACAGAACTCCAGGTGAACATAAAGAAGATGGAGGTAGGTGATGAAGATAACCGAGCAACAGCAACAACAACAACAGCAACAACCAGCGCCAATCACCATTTTAGCGGGAGAGATTTGATACAGGTTACTTCTTGCTTTCACTTATCTAGGCAGTCAGCATCTTTTTTTTTCTACTTCAAGCAACAGCATGTATCAAAGTATGTCAAAGCCATCTGGAATTGGAAAGGCGAGGGAAACACCTTCATCAATCTGAAATCAGTTTGTAAAACTTCTGCACTAATACAGCAGCATAAAGAACAAGATTCAACAGGATTTTCAACATAAAAATGTGAAGTCAGTCAGTCAGTCAGCCACTTCTTCTATATGTATCACGAAAGAGATTTCCAACAAGCTACTGTAGACTTTTATTAACGATTACCCATTTTGTATACAATTGGTGGATGGTGGCTAGCAGTGGAATCCAGGATGCGCATTTCGTCCTATTTGGGACTCGTCAGCTGAATGTACCTGCATTTCTCAGTGAGTAATGATGTTTCCACCGAGGTTCGAACCCAGTGCCCATAGTTTCAAACGCCAAAGCGTTATCCACTAGACCACTTGGGCCACAAGAGCCACCTCTTGTGCAACGGGTCATATTAATTATTGAATTATTGAAGCCACCATCCACCAATTGTATACAAATCAAATCCCCAGACATCGTCGAAGCATCTGCACAAGAAGCCGACATGTCAACCTGAGACCGAGCACTTCGGTCCAATCAATCGACGGGAAAATCAAAAATTCAATTCGATTACCCATTTTGCTGATCAGCCAGCCAGAATGAATTAGCAACAAGATACTCAAGCTGACTGGCTGGAAACAAACACACAGACGACAGCTGATTGCTCAACAAATAGGTAGGGGGAATTTGGAGATGGATTGATCGGGTACACACACTGAGGAGGCTGTCGAATGACATACTGCTCAATACAGGATATTGCTCTAGTGACATCTCAATTGGAAGCGTCGTTAGTGAGTCGTCAGTGCGAGTGTGACATGGAGGAGATCGTGTGAACTCGAGCAGGAGATTATCGGCCAGCTAGCCAGCTGAAGAGGATGACATCGCAAAGAAAAACGGGATGTTTTATTGAAGCCATCCAGATGTTCCATTCGGAACCCAAGGGAATAATAATAATAATTCTTTACAGACAACGACGGATGAGATGAATTAAAGTTTAAATATCTACTAGAATGTGTTGGATGTTTATAAACGCTAGTTTGCAGTTTACCTTTTCCCTATTCGTTTGATTTTACGATCTAACATCATGGTTAATTCTCCTTGTTCATTTTCCGATTCAAATGTGAATTTTATTCCCTCTACTAGTGAGGTAATGTGTGTGTGAAGAAGCTAAAGAGAGAGATATGTTTTGTTTTCAACACTGTGAAAGTATCATCCACATATCTCCACCATATTATCTTTGGAGTAGGATTAAACATATTAAGAGCAATATTTTTCCCAACTGCTACGATAGGGGATATTGGTGATGCATCCCATTGCTACACCTTCTGTTTGTCTATATATTTTGCCTTGAAATTTAAAGATAATAGATATGAAACAGAATAACTGAATTCCTAAAATAATTTCTTCAATGGGCAGCTATGTCCTATGAGTGAGTGAGTTCAGCAACTGCAGTTAATTCTTTTTTAACTGCTTCTATTTTTATTTTTAATTTACAGCTTGATTCCACACTGTATTTTTGGTACAAGTATGGAATTTTCAGCATGGATATCGGTAGCCCAAATTTCGCAGGCCGACCATAGATATCAGGTGTGCGTCGGCGTGGGCTCGAACCCCAGACCATGTTCATGGTAGACGAGAGTCCTAACCACTGTGCCACCGACGCACAAAAGTGGTGTCAGGAGTGGGCCATAACACTGTGTGACAGTTTATCAAAAAACGAAAATCTTATCCATAATGAGTTGTACTCTACCACTACAATGCCCAGGTTTTATACTTATATCAACAAAACCTTTTTTGTCAGAAGAAACAACCACCACCCCATAGAAAAGGTATAAAAAAATTCTCACCTGTTTATCAAAATCAAATCCTTCGAGTAATTCTCGTTTACTCTTCAAAATATTATTTGTATATGAAGACGATGGTGTGGACGGAGTATTTGAAGATGAAGAGGTTGTCGATGAAGAAAGATTAGGTAGTTTTAAGCCAACAGTAGAGGTTTGTTGTTGTTGTGAAATACCCCCATCATTTGTGCACGCTTTATTCCATTGTAAACGGGAGAAAAGAACAATAAAAAGGAAAGAAGTGGACACACAATTACAACACAATAATAATAATAGTGATATTTGAAATAATAGAGAAAATTTGTATCTCAGGTGGATGATATGCAATTAATAGTGTTCTCCGAGCTGGTTGGTTTAGTCGCGGAGCTTTCGTCGTCCGTCCTTCTGGACAACATCCCTTTCAGAGCAATTTTCACCATAAATGGAAGTGATTTAAATTTCTTCATGAGTGATAGAATTGTGTCTTCCGGTAACCATCTTTACATATGTGTATTGATCGTTTTCCATGGACTTGGATTTTAAACTTTCTCGTCAAGCGATTTACTTTTTATTAGTTGGTATACTTGGTCTATATTACCGTGTTTGTTAATCACTAGCTGATTCGTTTGATTACCAACCAGGCTTCTAGGAATTCCCTGACTGCACTTTTGGTGTTTCCTCTGTCTAAGATTTCGACATTATCCCAATCACCAAATCAGTGTCCATAATTATCTACATGCATTAATATGAAACAGGAATATATATCGTGTCTTTTCAGGGCTGATTTGTGTTCCTGGATTCTGATTCGAAGGGGACGCCCACTCTAGCCGGTGTAATGTCTGTTACAGTTCACACATGCCTATTTATTTTGTAAATGGTATTAATTTTATCTCCTTTTTCTGTTGATGTGTCTTTCGGTTTGCGTAATATCGAATTAAGTGATTTGACTGGCTTGTGTGCTATATCTATATCAAACGGTTTCAGTATTCTAGCTGTGCAGGGAATTCCTAGAAGCCTGGTACTCAAACGAATCAGCCAGTGATTAAGAAACACGTTAATATGGACGAAATATACCAGAAAGATTAAAATCCAAGTCAATAGAAAATGGTCAATACATATGTAACGATGGTCACTGGGAGACGCAATTCTATCACTCATGAAGAATTTAAATCAGTTCACTTTGTGGTAAAAATTGCGCTGAAAGAAGAAGTTGTTCAGAAGGATGACGAAAGCTCCGCAACTGAACCAGCCAGCTCAGAGAACACTACTAATTGCAAATAGTAATACTAGTATAATGTAATAATAAAGATAATAATCGATGACAGACACTATTTCCAACAGGCTATGGGGGCTTTTCATCAACTGATACCCGCGTCCCTCGATGCTTGAAATCAAATGTCCAGAAAGGATAACCAATAAGGAACTTTACCAGTGCAACAAACTCACCAGGAACACAATGCCCAACAAATTATTATTCTTAGTAATGTTCCTTTGGGTACCTAGTGGAGAACAGGACTTCAACCGAGCGTTACCACTTCATTCGGCCTTCTGTAGTCCTCTGCATCTGGCCCACGAGTACCTATAGGCTGTCATCTCATCTTCGCACGATCTATACTCCATGTCACCCTCGCACCAACGACCCACTCATCATTTCCCATTCAGATTCCATTCGCGCGATGGTCTGGCACCAGGGGTCATTCAACTGCCTCCTCAGCATCTTTTTTTGACCAACAGGTTCTCGGTTGGGTCTGATGCCAGAGTTTCTTGTTGCTAATTCTTTCTGGTCAGCTGACCATTTAATCTTCAGTATGGAGCCGATGAATACAGCTGTTGATAAAAGTCTCCAGATGGCTGTTAGAAATGTTAGAATATTCAGAGAAGTAACTCATTTGGCGTTTAAAATGAATGTCTGCAATCTCATTGCTTTCTTCGCCAACTCATGAAATCACCACGTACTTGCAAACTGCCTCTATCTCTCTCTCTCTCTCTTACAAATATCTGCGACGTATTGGAAAATCACATATTATTTCTCTACATAAACGTAATAATGTCTTTAAGCTGTAAGCAACTGATGGTTAGAAGGAGCCAACGAAATAACCGATGATGGTACCACTTTATTCTGAACAAATTCTTGTTCTTACTTTACTCAAAATGCTTTCGGTGACACACTCGCCAAGTTCCTGACCTATATAAAAAGAACTGACTTAATTGTCCAGCGCAAGTATGGAGAAACAAATGGAGATGGACTGGACATACACTGAGGAGGATATTCAAGCTATATCAAACGCTAACCAGGCGACGACGAATGGGGCGTAGGGGTTCAAGGGTAACATGGAAAAGATTACGTAGAGAAGAAATGAAGGTTTATGAGCGGCAAGCTTATAAAGACATTAGAGGTGTGCTTACAATTACAGAGTTGAATAATATTTCATTTCTTTTCGTTCCCAGTGAGATATAAAGCTTCTAGCTAGAGCCTTTTTTTAAAAATTCGGTAGCAGTAGTATTTATTATTTTTACGGGATGGGGTTGGTAGCCTTACACCCACCCAACCTTGCCTCTTTACCAGTCTTATTACTGGTTTAACGAGGTAAAGGACTGCGCCAGTTGGGAATCAAATCCTGTCGAACAATATAGTATTGATATTATTACCAGAGACAACTTTATTCTAGAAAATATGTTAACACACAGTATAGAATTCTTCATCAAGTAAAATTGTTGTCAATAGTATTCGAAATGGCGCAATGTTGCTTTTGTCTGAGTGCCAACATTCAATCCTTGACCATATTTTTCCCCTTTTCTTTCCTTTAAGAAGTGCACAGAATTAGAGTGAGTATTTAAGATACAGCCAAAAAAAAGGGAACTGGCAGCACTTTCGTTTTACAAAATACTTTAACAGGGGGAACGGAGGCAGAGTCTTTAACAATTTGAATTTCCTCAGTTAGTTGGTCATAAGCGATTTTTCCTAGAGGAATGCTGTAATATCATATCAGATATTACGTTTTGGTGTCGTTGCCTTGAGGTAACGAAGATCCCATGGTTTGCTATTTTAGAAGAAGGAGAAATAGAGGGCTTCTTGAGGGACTTCGATGTCGTCTCCGAGTGAGTAGGTAGGCGTCAAGAATTAGACAGCGAAGACAGTTGTGTTGGATACGCTGCTGAGAGGTCGAGCGAAGACGCAGTACGATGATGTGGCGCTGCTAGGTGACAAAAAGACCTGGAAGGCATTGGTTGAACGATTGGTGGCAGAGTTCAACAGCCCGACAGACAGACAGCTGGTAACGCAGCAGTTCCTTACCGCGAGGCTTGAAACTGACGCAGACCTGCTAGTGACGGCAGTGAAGCTGACGAATACGATGGTGTTATTTAAAGAATAGGGTCATTTGTCCCCCGAAGATGGGAACCCTTAGGGCTATTGTGACGAGGTAAAGCATAAAATCCCAGTGACCGGTCAAGTCCGTTACCAAGTCTCTTGTCTGCTTCCATTACACGCCCAACTTTCCCTTTTCGTCGGGCAGCCTACAACCGACTGAGGGAAGTAAAGGTGTGTGCTGGCTGGGGATCGAACTCTGAACCACATGGGGAGTGGTCGGTGAGCATTCTACCGCAGAACCACCGATGTACGGAATAAAACTATTATTATTATTATTATTACCAAAGAAATGCGGAAGAATCTAATGTATACTATGCTTGAATAAAAATTTAGAATCTTCATGCACTTATTTCCCTCAAGGGAACAAACTTTTATAATAGCGCTATTACCAGACGTCTCCTCGACACAGTTCATGAGGTGGAAATCGAGAAATCCTTCAAATTTATCAATAGACAAAGGAGCTCCATTCTCCTCAAGTTTGCTGAAGCAATTTCTATCAAACGCTTGAAACCAGATTGATGTGTTCAAAAAGAAGCAGTTATTAGTCTTTCTCTGCCCTGGTAACTGGATGTTATTACTCTCTCATCTGGTTACGTAATCTTCGGCTTTAACCTCACCCCTCTTTCTTTCATAATCTGTAATTTTGCTTGTCTCTTGTTTCTATGACATGGTTGACCTGCATTGTCACCTAATTTATTAGTCACTCATCATCTTACTTACCTCTCGTCTTATTACGTAACTCCTTCCCCATTGTATGCATACATTTATTTTGTTTAAAATTAAACTGCCTGTGTAAAAAAAACATATAAGCGCAATTTTCTGAGCACTGCTCACGAATTGTGAAACTTTCTGTCAACTGACAACATGTAAAATTTGCAAGTATGTTAAAACTTTCCTATGCGTAAACCTCATAATTTATTTAGGCTGTATGCGCGACAGCTGAGCTAATGAGAAGCCAACGAAATAAACACGGATGGTACCATCTGCTTATTCTGCACAAACCTTCACTGTGATGTTCTTGCTTTATAAAAATTTAGAGGTATCACAGTGATTCAAGCAGACTGCTGTTGGTCGGATACTCAGTCATGTAACTCATATAACTGACTAGTTCTTGATTAATATTCTCATAAAAAAATACGTTGAAGTTTAAAATTCTACTCAAAAATAAACATGACAGTTTTTTCCTTGAATAAAACATGATTTTGACATAATTCAAATTGAACGAAAAGAGAGATCATGATCAATGATCAATTGAAATCACAGAAGCAATAAAAAAAAATTAAAAAGATTTAAACAAAAGCAATAAAAAAAAACACAGAACATTTCCTCTTGTGTTGTGAAAAAAAAACACATTTTCAAATCAACCAAAAGAGAGTGGGGGTAGGGGATGGAAGACATTCAACAATCTTCATTTAACCGGGGGGGGGGTGGGGGGAACAGTTTCCGATTCAACATACTGTTTGCAACAAAAGATGTTATAATACAAGAGAACTCATGTGAACTAATAAAACTTATAGAGAAAACAGAAGTCTATAAATGTGTGTGTGTATATTGCCTCGTGATCTTAGAGCCCCGAATCCCATGGTTGAATACTCTATGAGTTTGGCTTGACAAGGTTCAAACCCTAACGGCAGGTGTACACTCCCGATGAGTTCAAAGCGCTAAGGCAAAACAGCCGACTGTTCACTACTCCTTGAGCTTTCCCCGAGTTCCATCCTTGATGGGATGCTGAGTACGAACTATGAAGAGTCACGAGCTAGGACGAAACAGTTGCTCAGTACTACTCTGCTTGGAGGTTGTAAAATTATTCTGGTTGTGTTTTTCCACAAACAGATTTATTCATAG